ATGCCAAATATTCACTTTCCAGTCTCCTAATCATACAATCTCACCACTGGTTCCAGTCATGTCTTGAGCATAGGTGATCAGTCTTGACATAAAAGTTTGTTTGTTTGAGGCATTGCAAGTATTCATGTCATGGATGGATGCTGGCAGGAAGTTTGGTATTAGGAATGCCTGGTTCTTTCTTACCTATGGTGAAAGTTTGGCAGCAAGATGGGTGTCCTTTCCTGATGTAGATGGCAATGACTCTTCATTCCTCTGGTAGTTCATTTCTTGGATAAGGATGTAAACTATTCCTTCTAGTCATTCTTTTCTATGCATGAGTTTCCATAGTTTTCTCTTTAACATGCTAAAAATGAAGTTTAGTTGTGATGCATTTTGTAGAAGACAGAATATTTCAGTTTCTTTCTAGTGGAGTTTTCCATTATGAAGATACTATTTTGGTTCATCTTAATAATTTTTTTTTCTCCCTGAAGTGCTTGATTTAGTGGAAAAGCTAAAGGAGAACTAATGTATTATCTTGAGAAATAAGTCTTAAGTCACAGTTAAGATATTAATAGCTTTGTATGCTTTCTTTGAACTTGCAATTTTTGTTACAAAGATACAGCTGTTGCAGTTTTTGGCTTTGTAACCTCCTGTCTGCAGATGCAACAGTCTGAATTCATCAAAGCACTCAGGCGCAGCCTTAAGTAAAGGGTGTGAGCGTATTCATTATGTTTGTCTAGACGGTACTTTGAAGGACGTCTCTAGACCGTCTGCAAAAACACTTTCACTGCACATGAGGACAGCAAACCCTCAAAAATAACCCCAGAGCACACATGCCCAAGCACTCTCTTGGTGTTAATAAGTAGCAAGATGCGTCCAGACAGTCGGTTTGCTGTAGATGCGCAGCATACTGTTAAGGCTCTGATGACAATGGGCTGCCAAAGCACCTTTGGGCACACAGTGGACTCAGCAGTTTCTGAGACTACACTCCTAAAAGCTGTGTGAACAAATTTGATTTCAGTACTGAGTTCACCTAGGAGGGCTGCTTCATTAAAAGTAGACTTCAGAGATTTAAATGTAGACACAATGCTCAAGGAGTGAAGAGTGCTGTGCCCTTTAAGAAGTTCTTTGTTTTTTGTATTTGGTAAAGATAAAAAGATGGGTCATTTTTACGATAACAGTCCTGACACCATTAAGAAGACTCACATTGGTTTTCAGTAGGGATTTGGCACTTTCTTCCCGTAAGTACTGTTAAAAATGTCCTATACTGGTTTTGATGTTACTGCCTCTGCTGTAAGAGTTCCTTAAGGCCAAAGTGGAGCAGAGGACCCTCTGTGAAACCCTGGGAGCTGGCTCAGTTGATGGCCGAGCCCAGCATAGGTTGGAATGTGGGGCTGGCAAGTGGAAACCTGGCTTCGTAGTATGTGCCAAGGGTGGTAGCAGGCAACAGCAGCTGGCTCCTTGGAGAGAAAGCTTGTAAAGATAGATTATATAAATTATGTTAGGCAGAGAGGGTAAAGTTGCTGTGCTGTGAGAGCACAGAACCATTTCACAAGAGTTAGAAACCCAGTGAGGGATGGTTCTGCGATGCTGCTGGTGCACTGGTAGTCCGCCAGTGCTTCAGGCAGTAGTGTAGGGGTGTGCCTCTTCCTTGGCAGCCTACTGTTGATTGTCACTTGCAAGCCCCGTGTCACTGGGCCTGTGGTCTCTGATAATACCTGCCTTCTAGTCTGTGTCTATGGCATGGCCATGTCACAAACTGTGCTCATCAGAGAAATGAAAAAGTTATGTTCTGCTGCTGAAACAGGTTACAGTGAATGTGAAGAAAAATCCACCTACTGTGTAGACATAATTAGGTTTTTTTTTGCAGTTTGGTAATACCCCATCAGATTTATTACTTTTCCAGTCAGAAGCACAGCTCACTTTACAGCTGCTCTCCCTTTCTTGCTTTTTTCTGGCAAGAGATTCCTTTTACTTAAAATTCATGTGATTCATGGGTTACAGGCTCATCTGTTGAAGTACAGTGTGTCTGCAGAGGCAGTTGTGACTGCCACCGTGCTTGTAACCTAATCTACATAAATCCCAGAAGAATCACTGATTTGAAAGAAATTCCTACCTGCTGTTTGTGTAAGGATGACCATCTGTCTGGCAAATCCCCATGTGGAAATCAGGTACATCTGAGAAGAGCAAGACAACCTTCTGACACCTGTTTCTCCAGCAGATGCAGTTGTTTATTCTGCTTTTTTATTTTTCAGCAGGTGCTTTTGAGATTTGCTTTTGGATCTACTTTCAGCAGCTTTTGAATACTAGTTTAAGCACTATGTACAACGCAGGATCATTCTGACCAAATCACCCTTTCTCTTTTTTGGCACAAATTTTTGGGGGTCCTAATTTCACCTTAAGAACTGCTTCTGAATCTGAGCACCTCGGTTCAGTCACTGAGACTGATAAATTCCCATCTTCTTTAGTTCCGGAAAATGCTTTCAGAATTTTTGAGAAACACTGAAACAAACTGGCTTTTAAGATCAAGTGGCACCTTCTGTTTGAGGATCATTCCATATATATTCGTGACCCTCCATGTAAATGCTTTCCAAGATGCAAGAAGATAGATGTGTCAAAGTGGTTGTTTTTAAGGATAATCTTTCTGTCTGCTGGAAATTTTATAGCTTTAAAAAGATACAGAGCATTCTGAGGCCAGATTAGAATACCAATGCCGTTGGCACTCTGCTCTGAATCTGTTTGTACATGCCAGTTTGCCTATTGAGATCTTCTTAATCACAAATTGTCCTCAGTTTCTGTGTGACTCTCAGCTCTCCTGAGATTTCTGCAGCTCTAAGCATGTGCCCTTTTGTGCATGGTATGCAGCATGGAGCACCTGATTTCTTTGCTGGAGAACCAGCTGTGATAATCCAAATAAACACAACCTTCTGTAAATGAATTGTATCTCCTGTAACTAAAGGTTAAGGTGTCATCTGGTGATTTATCCTTCCCAAATGGATTTGTTGGATCACTATGATACAAACATAATTTACTACCTTTTGCACATCATAGCTGTGTCCTCAGAATGGTGTTTGGGGATTTACAATACTGAACAGGGTGAATTATGTGTCAAGTTATCAACCATCCTGTTTGAGGTTTAGTTAGTGCTGACAGGAATTGTGCATTTAGCAGAATGAGGCTTCTGCATCAATCTTTTGGTAGGATTGTTTTCTTTCAAAGCTGCTGTTAATCAAAAGTTTCTAGAGAAGAGCTGCAAAACAGACCATTGATTGCATTAACTTATGCCCTGGCCAGCCAGATGTGAATAGTGTGTGTTGTGGTTGTCATCCCTCCTGTAAATTATTGTCAAGGTGCTGCCTCCTTGATGGAAAATCCAGCAAGATGTTACAATTTGAAGGCAAGCAGTACCTTGCTGTAAAGAGCCCCTGGGTTAGGCATGTCTGACAGGATATGAAGGATCCTTGGGGAGGAGTAAGTGGTTCGTACTTTGTTATTCCCACAGGTCCCACATTCACAGAACTAAAGAGGTTCCGTGGATATGCAGGCAGTTGCACTTTTTCAAAGTTTATTCCTATTTAATGAAAGATTTCCTTCCTGCAGTTTCTGCTTTCCTTTTGTGACAGTTCTTGATTGGCTGGAACAGTTTATAATTATTTTCTTGGCCATTTTGTTGGTGCATGCTGTATGACCCTGTGCTTCAAGTGGTGCTTTGCAGGTTACATTGAGGCTGCTGGGTGCCTCTATAGGGCCTCCTCTCTTGTCTCCAGAGGAGGCAAAATAGGTTTGTTAGCACAAAGCACCATGTCAGACCATTTGATTGCCTCCTTTTGAGTCTTTAATCCCAGTGGCACAGACCTGAAGTTGCTGTCATTGCATCCACATAGGAGGAGGAAGAGAGGAGGAAGAGGAGGAGGTGTAGCTGGAAAGGATGCAATTGTTTGTTACCTGTATGGTCAAACAGGAACTGCTGCTGCAGTGAGGAGCCTGGTTGTGATGTAAGTGACTGCCGTGGCTGCCTATGCTGTGTCACCTGTTGAATTAAGCTTCAAATGAAAGCCATTAATTTAGGAGGTCTGTATAACTAGGAGGAGGTTCTTCACTGAGAAGATTCTGACATAAGCCATGAAAACAAAAGGGGGCATGCATCAACTGCACCTGTTTACACCTCTTTCCTCCTTCCTCAATGATGAAACTCTAGGAAACATGGGAGCTGGCTTATTGCATTGTTTGTGCATATGATCAACCAGGCAAAGACAAAAGGAGGACAGCACAAGGAATTTGGCAATTATATTTCAGGACAGAGTGGCTGCCCTCCTGAAACTTCCAAACCCTCTGGCATATTCTCTCGACTTGGAAATTGAAAATGCATATCAGAATCTTTTCCTAGTGAGTTATCTGCCCCTTGTGATTTTCAGCAAGTAAAAAAGAAAAGCCATTGCTTCAATGCAGATATGCTGTCCTTACATTTAAGCTCCCAGAAGACCTCTGACTATGTGACAAGAATTACTGTCATGGATATTGCATAACGGTTTAATGCAGTCTCAGTTTTATGAAATATGGATAATATTGGAGACATTCTGAGTAGTAGCTTAGATTTATTTACACTTTCTTTTTAAGGTGGAGACGAGGGACATTTTTAGTGCTCTTCAATGACATTTTAAGAGTTGAGATTGTTACTATTAAAAATGAATAAAATCCATAGAAATGGAAAAGAGAAAAATACATTGTATAGATGGATTATGGGCAAATTGTAAATATTTAAAGCATTTTTGGGAGTTAGAAATGCTGTGCTTTTATTTGAATAAAAAAGCTATCCCAGCACATTTACAGTGTCCAAGGTGTGTTACTCCTTGGTGAGGAAGGTTGAAACTCAACTGAGAGGATGCAGTTTTGAATAATCTTTCTTCTTGTAAAAGGTTTATTATTAAGATGAAGGCATTAAAAAAAAAAAGTGTTTGATGCATGTGCTACGTATGTTAAGAATCACCTCAAATTGTATGTATTTGTTTTGTGACACACAGGACAGCTTTCCAGCTCGGTTTGGAGGAATACATTTTGTCAATCAGCCGTGGTATATCCATGCCCTCTACACAGTTATCCGGCCCTTTCTAAAGGAGAAGACACGAAAAAGGGTATTCTTTTTAATTGTCCATTTCCTGGCAGTTGTCATCAGCAGTTGCATCATACTCTAATAAAGTAGATTAACATGGGTATCAGCTTGCTATTGGTGGAAAATGTTTAAATATATCTTTGTTGCAAAGGGTACCTTCAACTGTTTTAGAAAGTTATACGACATTATCCTTTAAGGACACAGTCAAGCCGTGCACTTAAATGTTTTTTAAAATGTAAGCGTATGCTTGCTCCTGGGGATTATATAAAAAAATACTGCCAACATTACAGTTTCTATTAAGATTGTACTCAATTCAGTTCTGTTTAATTTCTGTTAAAATTATTTGTGTCTTCCTTTTAAAAACAGAGTTAGTGACTACAAAGGCCTCTCCTAGTGTGCTTTCCTTGACATTAGCATGAGCTAAAATACCCAGCTGGCATCTAGCAGTATTAGTTTGCGAATACTAATTTGAATGAAACCAATAAAAGAGAATTTGTGTGCATGCTTCTGTGCATAAGCATGAGCAGTCTCTGAGATGTTGCTGAATTTGTAGCATTTGCATCAGTGCAATTAAATTAGAGCTTGGTGGTGATAGTGTATAGAATGGTATTATTTCTGTAACAGGAAATTTGTCATCCAGGAAAACACAATCAACATCATGTACAACTGCACTACAAAGAACATGATGATTTTTTTTTTTTTAAATGGAATCAGCTCCCTAAACAGCTCTGTATTTTTTCTCCTCAAACACACTATGCAGGGCCACAATGATCCTTGGTGTTGAGCTGTTTTTTACTGACAGATTATGCTTGAGAGGCCTCTGGTATTTACAGATTTTGAACTATAGGTCACAAAGCCTTTTATGTAATATCTGTTATAAATATGCAAATGAAGCCCCATTTTGCAGGATTCAGTTGCACTCTGTTGACGGCAGCTTCTGCAAAGAACGTTGTAGTGCCAGATATGTCTGAGGCCTTCTCAACTCAAGTGCTGCATATGCATAACTAGGGACTAAAGTGCAGCTCATAGGAGGGCTGCAGCATTAGAAATAAGTGACAAGGCTTTGAATATGGAGGCTTATCAGTTAGCATCTACATTTTTATTTAGACACCTGAATCAATGGCATATATATTTTCAGAAATGCTGACTTTTTACAACTGTTTTTTGTCAATACCAAACTCCTATAAAAAGTAGTCAGATGGTTAAATATTGATTTACAGTTCTAAACTTGGTGTTGAAATGTGAAAGTTATGATCAGCACATAAAATTTAAAATCAGCTTTAAAGAAAATTATTAGATGGAGAACAAATGATTGGGAAAAAAAAAACCAAACCCTCAAGCCCAAGAGAATTCTCTTTAGATTTTTTTAATCAGGCTTATTGTTTGTCCATTGTTTTTATCCTGAATTATTATGTATTTTTTTAATTTGTCATGTAGATTTGCAAGTGATAGTTACATTCAGATAAATGCAGTACTAGGCATATATAAAACAACTGCTGTGAAGTGAAACACTTAGTTGTAAAGTCACCATAAAGCAAATAACTTTCACCATTAATAAATGTTCTTTCACAAAAGGATAAATTCCTTTCTGAGATGGAAGAAAATCACTGGTTTTGCACGGTCATACTAACTTTCCTGAGTCTGCAGCTGACTGGAAGGTGGTCTGAAGTAAGCAATAAAAGACAAGCATATATTTGGTCTTTGTCTTTCTGCCTTTTGAATGTAACTCTTATAAATCATGCTAAGGACATAGCTGCCCAGAGGAGTCCCTGCAAGGTGAAGTGGAACATGAAAGATCTCTGAGAGGAAACACTAAAGTTAAACGCAAACATAAACACAAGTATTCACATCACACCACACTAATATACAGATATATATGTGTAAAGTATACATGAATATCAGTCTATCAAAACATTGATGGAAAATATCAAGTAGTCCATCAGCTATTCCCTCAGTGTTGTCACAGTGTTTTACTGCTATTACTTACTTCATGTATTGTCAAGTACAAATGGCAGTTACTTGTAAGACTAGATTAAGGAGGAAAATATTTCCAGCACTGTTATCATTACACTGCATAATTTATCTTATTTATAGGACTCATGGCTGCATGCTGAAAGTCAAGATATATTCCTTGTTGTGTATGGTGATTATTATTTTTATTCATTTCTTATAATCTTAATTTATTCACTTAATTTAATTTAATTTATTCACTTAATTCATGGAATTAGGGAGAGCAATTGACAAGGCAGTTTGCCTATCTAATATTCTGTCCATCTAGCTACCAGACACCAGTTCTTACCCTCCCTAAGTCCCTTGCTCTGTAAACATTTTAAGTTATTTTTGCTTTAATCACTTTGGAGATTTATGAACATAGTATGACCATGCTCAAGGCAGAGGTGATGTGTGCCCTCCTCTGCACCTCTGCTAGCCCAACACAACCAGAATGTTTCAATTGTACAGTATCCTCCTAATAATGATGATGTCATTTGGGCTTTGGTGTTTTTTGGTGATACTCCTCTGTTTTTACCTGCATGCGTACATACAGATATTCCTGCATGGTAACAACCTCAACAGCCTGCATCAGCTCATACACCCTGAGATCCTGCCTTCAGAGTTTGGAGGAATGTTGCCCCCCTATGACATGGGCACGTGGGCAAGAACACTGCTTGACCATGAGTACGATGATGACAGTGAATGCAACGCGGACTCCTACAACACTCCTGCAAAGGATATAGAAAAGGACCTCTCTCCCAAATCCATGAAAAGGTAAGTTAAAGGTGCTGTTGTCTTCTAGCATTGCCGTAAGGTTAACATTTGCCTTCTTCCTCCTTTATGAAGCTGTAGGCAGTTCAGTCTATGATATAGGAAGACAATTGGGTTTTTCCCCTTCTTAAAAAGATCAGTGTTGATGAGAGATCATGGCCGTGATTATTACACGTGTGAGTTGTGAACTCAGTGCAGCTGATGATTTCTGTGGTGCCATATAGGTTGTATACACAGCACTGTCTTTGGAATAAGCTGCTATCTCACCTCAGCCTACAGTACTCATTAGAGAAACTGTGCTAGCTGGTGTGAGCCTCTGTGCAGAGGGTAAATTTGGGCCAGTTATCTTTCTGGCTGGTGATAGCTCTTATCTTCCTCCATCTCATAGCCCACTGCCTGGTATCCACCAGCCTGTAGGTGCCAGAACATATATGGCATCTGAACCATCAGTCACAGTGACTGCATTCCTGAGAAAATATGAGGAGAACCAGGACCAAAATCAGTGCCAATTTTTCTACTCAAGTCTGGTAAACATCCTGGCATTCTGATATTCTTCTCTTTGAGAAGGTACAGTGTAATTGCTTGCTGCATTTTACCATTCAAAGTAAAGTATAGGAAGAGCTTATTTACCTCTCCAGTAGCTATGGAAGCAGTGAGGTCATTAACTTGGAAGGGGTGAATCTGATCCAAGCTTGCCAGGGCAGTAGGAGAGAAAAGGGTAAAGATTACAACTGTGGTAGAAAAGGTAGCAGAAAGGGCAGCAGAAAGGGCAGCAAAAGTCAGAGTGCAGCTTATAAGGGACAGACCTAGCAATAGATCAGAAAAGAACAAACAAGGCAGAAACCAATATATAAAGTCATTAAAAGTAAGTTAGGATATGCTAGGCTGAGAACCCAGTTTCAGGAGACAGCATGTGATGCAGAAGGGAAAGAAACTTTGGAAACAGATCAAACAGGATAAAATATTTTCAGATTTCTCAGCCAGGAAGATGATTTTGGCTGGACTGGGAAGGACATTGTGGTTTAAAAGGGAAATATTTTTGTGGAAGCAGAGAAGAAAACATAAAATTGCTATAGGAAATTAAATTTAAAAAAAAAGAAAAAACCCAATAAAGTTTAAGGATTTTGTGTTGAAAAAACCTCCACTTTATTGAGAGTAGGAAATAGCAAGAAACTGATAGGAATGAGCTAGGATAAGAAGTTTAAAAAGGTTCTGAAACTGTATGACAGGGCTGCTGGAATGGCTGCAAACCTGGTCTCAAATTCCCAGTGAGGGAGTTTTGGCCATAAATTCCCAGAGCCTTTAAAATCCTTAATACCCATATATATGAAGCTAGAAATGTGTAACTAACACAATTAATGGAGAAAATGGGACAGAGAAAAGAGCAAGGGGAGGGGAAAGGTGAGCAACACACTTACACATGATTTGCACATAATACAAGAATTATGGGAAAATACAGAAGCTGTCTTAGACAGAAGGATGGAATTACGGAACTGAAATGCAGAAGTCTTTCTGCTGCAAAATGATGTTGTGAGAGTAAATAACTTCATCCAAGGGTGCAACAAAACAAAATATGAGAAGGCCTCTGACAAGTCCTTTTGGAGCAGCCTGTTTGGAGCAGAGTTTTCCAGATTGTTCTGGGCAAGCATATTATTAAGTGGAAAAGCAGTGAGTTGACCAGATTCTTCATTCTTTTTCAAGTAATTTTTATTCTCATTTAACTTGCTTATGAAAACTCTTATCATACAGTATTACACTTCAGTGTAAGCTTAAAATTGATACCTTTTCAGTCTGGGTGAACTAACTCAGTCAGAGACCTAGTGCAGAAAATATACATGTTGAAATCTGTACCCATATAATATTATGCTAAAATTACTTCACCTTCAGTGCATTCCTTCTCAGTTAGCATGCCTCCCGAATCTGCTGGAATCCTTGTTCTTTGCTGCTGGACATAAAAAGTACTAAGTAGACTTAGTGCTACTACTAAGACTGACAGAAAGTCCCAAGACTTCAGTACTAAGCACACAGACTCTGTTAAAACACAAATAGAAAAGTTATGATAAAACAGATAAACTCTAATTCATTAAAAATTAAATTTAACATGTATTCAGCAACTGATGGGTTGTTTCTCTCAGTTAAACCCACAGTCAGTATATCTCAGTGCATAAAATTTTTTAATGTATAAAAGACATGACTAAGGCAATGAAAAGTGTTTACCTTAGAGCAAATTTCACAAGCATCTAGCAGATCTCCAACAATTACCTTGTTTAATTTGGTTTACCATTTTAAAATTAGTTTACTTCCTGAAAGAAAGTCTTTCTAAACCCAAACTGCTACTGAGAATTAATTTCTTTCTTACCCCACCATTTGTTTTTGCCCCCTGTGTGAACCACTGCCATTCCTCCAGATCTCCTTGAATTTTCTGTGAATTGGATGACCTCACCTTGAAAGGAAGGTTGACTGGGGGGAGGATGATGGAGATAAGGAGGAGTTAATGCCACCTGTAGCACAGACCTCTGGGGAGAACTTGTTTATATCATCTGGCAACATTGCAGCTGTCTCAGCAGTCAGGTTTAGCCTGTGGCTGTGTTCACCCGTGGCTGTCATCCTGAGGCACCCAGCTGGAGACCTGCATCCTCCTCTCACCTAACCCAGCAGGGCAGATGTCTGTGTTGATGACTTTGCAGAGGAGCTGTGGTTTGGTTCTTCACCTCTGCAACGGGACTTTGTAGTGTACCTCTGTCCTACTGTGTTTTCTCAGAATGTATTCAGTAATGTCTGTAAATTTATCTAGGGAGATGTAGGCAGAAGAGAAGGAGCTATAGACTTAAACAAATGTTTTTTCTTTCCCATACCTTCATTTGTGAATTGCTGCTGAATGGGATGAAGCATGACAGTAAATTTCTGTTTAAAACTGAGTGCAAACTGTTTCTCCTTCTTTTTCAAGGCGTTTGGGCATCTGAGCTTACAAACAAATCAGGATTTGTGCAGTTCGATTTTCACACCTGCCTTGGCATTGGGGGTTTTAGACGCCCTGGGAATTTATGGCCAAGGCTTCCTCCCTGGGAACTGGAGGCCAGGTTTGCAGCCATTCCAGCTCCCCTTCAGTTTTCCCCAGATGAGAACTGGAAACCCTGTCTGCTCAGTCACTGGCAGCCGAGGAAAAGGCTCAGTTTTAGCACTTACATCCAGCTGGCAAACCTTTGAAGTTAATTTGCTTCCACAGTAATTTTTATCATGATGAACTGGATTTTCCATGAGTGCAGCTTCCCACCAGCAAATTTTCAATCAGCTTTACTTTGGCATGGTACCTTGTGAAGATTTTAAAAAAACATTTTTAATTCAGTGGTTTAGTTTTCTGCCTGAGGAACTTAGTAGTGTTCAGGATGAGTATTGTGCACTCTTAATTTAAAAAGTTTAAATTATGCTTATCACAACAGAGATGATTATACTTTAAAAGCTAATTTTCTTGATTTCAGTATTAGTATGAGAATGGGATAAATATTATTAGAAAATATCCTTGTGTCTAAAGTTTTCACCCAAACTTTAAGTCAGATGTTTTTTCTTGTGTTTTTGTAAGTTTTCTTTAGATTTTTTGAGAAGAACCTCATCAGCCTCATTCATTGATTTCACTGGATGATGCCAGTTTATAAGAGGAGGGGATTGACTCCATATGCTTATCTTAGGAAAGGTTAGAATTTGTAAAGGTTTTTCTCTGCACTGTAGCCCTCTAAATGGGCAAATCTTTAGCAATGCTGCAGGCACAGTGTGCTACCACTGATCAAGAATAAATGCCTGCATTGTAGAGATGTACACATGCTCTTTAATCATCTCAAATCTTTAGAGAAGGAAAGAGAAGTAGGCATTTCCTGCATGAGATTTTTCTCACTAAAGGAAACATCTAACCAGGGTTGAATTTACTGTAGCCCAGAAGTGGCTGCTTTTTGATGAGCTGAGCCATGGCTGATGTGGGACCCCATCTTAACACTCCAGGCTTTGTTTTCAATGGTACATTTTGATTTTGCTGGAGACTCGGTTTTCCTCTTTGCCTGTCACATGTGGCTGTTGCAGGGCACTGGTTTCATGTTATTCTTCTGGGCAGAATCAGAAAATCTAGAGAAGTTTTACAATCATCACTGAATTTGCCCTGCCTTGTTCAGTTGAGCTGAAAAGTGAGTTTTATATATTTGTGTGCTGCTTCACAAATCCTGCTAACTGTGGCACCATTCCTAGGTTTGACATAGGATCTTGCACTGTTGAACTAAGATGCTATTCAGAAAAGGAGCAACCTGTACTTCCAGCTAACACATCCCGCTAATTGCAGTGTGTGATTAGCCAGCTGGGTGGCTGAATTGCACCTTCTTTGCCAGCCCACTGCTGTATAACCTTCTGGAGAGACCGTCAGTGCTTAAGTCACTACTGAGGAAAGCTTAGTTTCTGCTTGTGTGTGGAGGATACTCTCTGCTTCACGATTTCACTGAAGAGAGGGTCCACTTTATTCCACTTTTTGCTCCCATATTTACAGATCAGCACTGAACCTTTTAAAGCCCTGTTATCCCTCCATGAGGGTATTTCCCGATGATTTGCAATGATAGATGCTTGGGTAATGCTGTATCCTTATTTTTAAACCCTTACAGAAATTAAAATAAACAAAAGAAAGCTGAGGTTTACCCTCATTTGTCTTGATCTAGAAATGTCAAATAAACATGTTGTCCCTCTGCAGGTCTCAGTCAGTTGTGGATCCTGGGGTGCTGAAACGCATGGATAAGAATGAGGAAGAAAACATGCAGCCCTTGCTTTCACTTGACTAGCAGTTTTTGAGCATTGGACATGAACTGAGGTGGAAGGTACTGCCTCTCAGCAACAAGAAAATCATTGTGAAGGAGTGTAACAGCTGGAATCCTATTTACTCACGTTAATGTAGCATATTGGCAGCAGGTGTTACTATTCTGCCTGAATTCTGGAAGCCCTTCGGTGAAAAAGAAGTGGAGACAAAAAAAGAAAATTAAATAAAAAAGAAAAGGAATCAATAATTTATTCTGTAAGTGCCAACTTGTTTGTAAATACAATGTAATCCTCCAATTTTACTTTGTAAGTTATGGTAAACAAGTGCTATGGAAATGAGTGACTATTAAATATGTCAGCGAAGTGCACCATAAAAAAGAGAAGAAAACGTGTGTGTTCTCACATGCACACACACACACACACACACACACACACAGAAACATACTGAACAAAGAAAAATATCAAAGGCAGGTGAGTGTTGCCCTTCCCATGGGAAGCCAACTAGTACATTGACTGCTGGATTTTTTTCTGCAGTGATCACATAGTGTGCTAAGATAAAGAGGGAATATGGCATTGCAAGATGCTGTAATTGGTGCAATGTTTCCTAACTGTGGGAATTGGTTTCTTAAATGACACTGGGGTCTAGGATTGTTATTTAGGATAAACAATGTGCATTGTGAGAAAGATCACAGGTGAACTGGAACCAACTCTTGGATAGCTTTGTCATTTGACTGTATGGGTCTCTGAGGTTTCTTCCCTAACTTTTCATTTACACAAGTAACTTGGCTTGGTACCATAATTTGGGTGTTGTAATGTAGGACACATTGGAGTTACTTCTCTTGCATTTTGGGTGCACGTCAAGAATTTTTCCAGAACTCTGTTCTCCCTTGGACTGAGACATTAGTCCTCTAAATACAGTGGAATAACCAGTATCTGAAAGTAAAGCCTGGCAGCAGAGATTAGTCACTGAATCCTGTGCACTGGGAGACTGGATACACATATATATATATATATTTTTACCAATCTCTGACAAGCATACAAGGTGACATTGTTAGATAAGTATATTTCATTGAAGGTTTATACAAGAAATCATACCTATTCAATGTACTTAGATATATTATAGATTGTATATTGAGATACTGTCATTACTAATATAGTAAAACTTTCCATAGATCAACAGCATCCACTCCAAGCAAAGACTAATAAGAATAAGTTTTGGTCAAACAACTCAGCCTATAGTTTGGGACACCTTTGTTTTGGTTGTAGTGTAACTGTATATACTGAACATGTGCCATAATAGAGAAATACATTTTACCTCAAAAGGGCAACAGGTTTCTCTAGGGATTGGGTCATTCAGCAGAAACACAGGGGCTGTGTCATCTCTGTGTGCTGGCTGATATGTGTGCAGCCTGTGGTGTGCTGAGGTGAGAACGTGATTTCTTATTAGGACTTAAATCGACAGTCAGAGTGTCAAGACACACAGGGTGCCCAGCAAGACATCTGAATAATTAAAGATGTTGTAAGAACATGTTCAGGCAGTGCAGGGATTAGTTATGAAAACACTGACCATACTGGAGGTGGTAGTTCACAGCAACCCTGGCTCCCGAGTGCTAGGGTTTAAAACATTTCTTCCATCACTCCAGTGATAGGTGAAGTTTCCAAGTTACTGGTTGTAGGTCACCTCTTCTCATCCAGGATGATTACAGCTGTAAGATTCGGTAGGCTGAGATGAGTTAAGAGCAGAGAGTGAAAACTTGAAAGTCTGTCGTCTCGAGTTTAGCTGTAACTCCTGTGGTGGCAGCTTCAGCATTTCTCAGGGCTGAGACGACCCTGACTCTTCCAGCATCACCCTTGATTAGCCCGGGCAACTCACAGATAAAGCTTTCCTACTTCACAAGTCATTAGCAGCACTGATAAATAGCGTATGCCCTAATATGCTATCAGCGTGCAGGAACTTGTCTGAACAACTCATTTCCTTTCTGCTTTCCTAATTCTGTTTTCATGGTACGTGTTAGGAAGTACAGAGAGGAAAGATATGGAGCCTGAACTTCTTATCAGTCTGTTCTACAAGTTGTCAGTAGTAGAAACTGTCTTAATACTGCTTCTGTGGTTTGAGAGACTTGAAAAAATGATCAGTTCTTACATACTCCTTTATTCAGTTCTATTTTTCACATTCCCTGTAAAATCATGCTGTATAGGTGAGATGTGTCTCCAGTATTCGCATAAGTGCCATTTTTGAATGTATGTTATATATTTCCACACTTCTGGTTAGTAGAATAGTATGTTGCCATAGTTATGATTTAAAAATTCTTATCAGATAAAGCTAAAACATCAGTAGAAATGTTCTCCTTATAAGGGCTTCAGGATTTAGTCAGTACTCCACATTTATACAAGCTGTGACACAGTGGTGATCAAAATCTTCATGGATCCTTTTAAATACATGGGCCAGACTGGTGCAAGACAGCCGAATGCTGATTTCAGAGTACATCACCTGTGTAATCACAAAATGCAAATCTGTTCCACTGTATGAAGCTTAAAATTTGTTTTGAAGCTTATAAATTTTTGTTTGAAAATCATTTATTTGTGCACTTAACTGTAATTTATGTAATATCTTCTGATGTCTGATTTAAATTTTAAGGTAATGAGTATGAATACATTTTTTTCCAGAAAATGAAAGTAGGATATATTATAATTTTGTGTAACTGAGACCTCATCTTTCAGCAAGAACAAAATTGTATTTTCAATAAGATCTTCTCTCTTGAAGAGTTGGGCTACAGGTCATCTTGGCTGCAGCTTTTATTTCACTGAATCAAATTCTGACAGTGGTAATTGCAGTTGTGACATTGAAAAAGAATATTGAAATGGGTAAAAGAAATAAATATACTTTACCTGCTCTCACTATTCTTTGAAGGCATTTCTCTTTTACATATCAGGGTACACCTTTATTGTAGAAAATCTTTATAGGTAGTTCAATTTTTATTAGATGAATTTGGGCTGAAAACTTTTTCCAATCTTTATTATCATAGGAATTGCTGTCTAATTTTTATAGCAGAATTGAAGTGCTAAAACAGAATGCACATGCTTGGGAGGAACTCCTCTTAATTTCTTACCTTTCTTGTGTATTGGGTAGAATAAAACCTTGTTGTAATTATGCATGCTGATATGCATATAAAAATATCCTGCAATATAAGGAACTTAGTGGAGTAACTGGATATACCTGTCCAACTACATTAAAAAATGTAAAAATTGATAGTTTTGGGCCTTTGATAAGATCTAAAAATATCCTCTTACATGATGACTTTTCCAAAACATAAATGTTTAAAAATATATGGAAAAATTATGGAAACTTCCATGACCAAAACCTACTTGTAATCAGAGATATCAGTAGACTCTTGGCTTTATAGAGACAGGTAATCAGACCCACTAAGCTCCAACAAATACACAGACTCCCTCCCAATAGTTATTAGTTGTAAAATAGTTTGAGATGTCTTTACAGAAATGTAAATTTACTGTATAGCATATTTAAGAAGATGTTTTGCACTCTACAAACATGCTATGCCTAGTCACAAACTGAAAACAGACTAAAGAAAAGAGGAGTAAAAGGGACCTCAGGAGGTCACTGACAGGTGGAGAAGCAGATTCACTTTAATGTTGCTCTCAAATGTTTTAGCTCAGTACCTTGCATGGAATGCTCTTTGTATTACTTAATTGCAGTCACAGCCAAGGCTAAGCACATTACCTGACAAAATTGTAACCTGACAGTATTTTGTTCATGCCTTTTATTATTTTCCTGTTCTGTTCGGGAAATTAAAGTTTGTCAAACATCATAAGAACTACCATTTAGCATTACTTGGAAAACACTTTGCAATAAGCTTTGGTCATATCCTTGTTATTATATTGTTTCTGTTATGATTATTGATGTATGTATTTGTCCAGTTTTTTTGATAAATTCATGTTTGAAAGAGCATGCAAGAGAGAAAAAACCAAAATCAATCAGGCTAAAGGATTTTATTTAGAATATTAAAATGGGATTTTAGGGAGAGTTTGGATTTTATAATCTTAAATTGCGTCTGGGGAGTGTGCTGCTGAGCTATTAGCAGTGTTGGGTTCCAAGACAAATTTGGAAGATAAATGTCAATGTGAAAGACATCAGCAAAGGTCACAAAGCATTGCACTGAAGAAAAGACTTAATCACATTGCTGGTTCAGGTGCCTCTAAAGAAAGGTATTTTGCAAGTAGCCTGTGAGTATGTACTTCTGCTGGTGAGAATAGTTCTTTTGTCCACAAACTTCAAAATACTCTATGAAATTGAGAAAATAATAGTCATCTCGTTTCTCAGGTAGAAAAACAGGAGCACAGCGAGTTTCATGTCAATGAAAGACATTTTTCTGTGTGGAAAAGATGACACTGGTCACTCAGTCTGATTTTAACAGGAGAGAAAATATTGTGTCCCTGTTTTGTGTAAGAAGGTGTTATTGTTGATTCACTCATGCCTAGTTTCTTTAGAACACTTTACCAAGAGACCTTTGCAAACCAGGGGTGATCTGCTTTCCTGTGGAGTTAAATCTGAGTGTACATTTAACCATTTCTGCTGAGGAAATGGCAAAAAGGGTGTATGCCTCCAAATGAAATGCCTCTCTTTCCTGTCTGATTGTTGGGAAAAGAGGTAGTTTAATCCAAAGACTCCCCCAAAATGAAATTTGCCACATAAAGAATTCTTTCAGGGACAAAACAAGATACTTATCTTCCATCAACTATACAAGGAACATCAACATTTTGTTTAGAGGCATGCTCAAGTGACTCCAAATGAAAGCACAAGCCAGGTAGATAGAATCCCATGTCTTGTATTGCCTTGTAACTTTGAATGATCCTGTGTCAAAATCTGTATTTAGCAGATCACCTTGGGTGTTCCTTTCAGTCTCCATTTCAGCTTTCAGCTGTGTAGGAATTTTTTTCCTATCAGCTTTTGGGATCTTAATTTGTTTCCTTCATAAGCGTCTGTTGGCACACAACAACATTGACCCCT